AATCCGTCCATGCATAACTGAGATCTGGGTCCGGAATGGTGAAAATGTGCGATTTCAATGCATTTTCGGCCTTAAAGCGGCCGCCATTTGGCTATCGTTAATGGGATCATGAAACAAATGCACATACATATTTGTGACATGATGTACCTTGTGTGTGTGAAGTTTGAACTTGATCAATCCAGACATGTCTCGGATACGGATCCAGAACTGAATTCTTTAAAACAAAATGGCCGCCAGTCGGCCATTTCGAACTTGATCCGAAAAAAAAATGACGTGCATCAAGGTCCTATTATGTTTAATGTATGTACCAAATTTGAACGAAATCCGTCCATGCATAACTGAGATCCGGGTCCGGAATGGTGAAAATGTGCGATTTTGATGCATTTTCGGCCTTAAAATGGCCGCTATTCGGCTATCGTTAATCGGATCATGAAAAAAATGCATGTGCATATGTCCCATATAATATGTGATGTATGAGTGAAGTTTGAACATAATCGGCCCATGCATGTTCGAGATACAGGTGATCACGGACGGACGGACGGACAGACGGACGCACACAGGGCAAAACATAAGTCCCCGTTTTCGGACTCCGTCCGAACGGGGACTAATTATTAAAAGATGGTGGTTGTCGCTCTGTGTCAAGTTCAATAAGGGACTCATACAATGCATGTAAAGGTCATAGGTCATTGTCATGTTTTAAATGAATGCATACGGTAACCAGAAACGCAAGTATGTTTTAAGGTCTTTGTCAAATTTGGCAAGCATCCAAATTTGAAAAAGTATTACATGATGGAATATAAGGTTATTCACAAAAAATGATTTAGTGGCCAAGTTTCTAGTTAATTCACAATTTAAAGATGTACAACTTCTTTAACTGATAAAGAAAGCCAACTTTCTCATCAAATCATGCATGTATGAAAAGAATGAAAAGAAAGTATAGAGAAGACAGCAGTATAAAAAGCACCTTTATTCACTAAATGCAAACAAATCTAATGAAGTACAAACCTTAATTAAGCTAATGGAGTTTTATTTGTGACAGGCTGTAAGCAAAGTATTACAAAGAGTAGTGTTAATATAACTGTGAGGGCGCTGCACTAGACTTGTTTTGGATGTGAGGACGCTGCAATACAGACAGTTGTGTTATAGCTGTGAGGATGCTGCAATACAGACTTATTCTAGATGTGAGGACGTTGAACAACAGACAGTTGTGTTATAGCTGAGAGGGCACTGCATTACAGAGATCAGGTACACCAAATGTTCAGCCTAGTAAAATTGTGTCTGGTCTAGTTTACATGTGTCTAGTCCAGTTCCAGTCTGGTCTGTCATGTGTCCAGTCTGGTATATCATGTGTCCAGTCTGATCAGTCATGTGTCTAGTCTGATCAGTCATGTGTTCAGTCTGATCAGTCATGTGTCCAGTCTGATCAGTCATGTGTCCAGTCTGATCTATCATGTGTCCAGTCAGGTCTGTCATGTGCCCAGTCAGGTCTGTCATGTGCCCAGTCAGGTCTGTCATGTGCCCAGTCTGGTCTACATGTGCCCAGTCTGGTCTACATGTGTCCAGTCTGGTCTGTCATGTGTCCAGTCTAGTCTACATGTGTCCAGTCTGGTCTACATGTGTCCAGTCTAGTCTAGTCTACATGTGTCCAGTCCAGTCTAGTCGACATGTGTCCAGTCTGGTCTACATGTGTACAGTCTAGTCTACATGTGTACAGTCTAGTCTACATGTGTACAGTCTAGTCTACATGTGTCCAGTCTGGTCTAAATGTGTCCAGTCTGTGCTGATTTAATATGGTAAAGAGATGAGTGAAAACAAAACATATCAGTACATGGTATGAATGAATGTTGAGCAGTACTTGTCACATGGTACTTACTCACTATTTAACTTTGAACCCTGAGAACTTAGTTTGTTCACAAATCAAATGCATCGATTGTGCATGCATTTTCGTGCAAAAACCAAAGATGAATTATTATTAACCAACAGTGAATCGTCTATTTTAAATATTTGTTGACACTGAAGCCACAGCTTATCATCACCAACATTCTCATCCACCACTAGGGTACCAGCATGCCATTGTTGCCATCACCAACCACAAAGACACAACGTTGTCCCCCACCGATTGCCAAAGCACATCACTGAATTCCATATAACTGTTCCACTATCTACCAACACTGACACCAGAATAAAATCACTTAAATTTGACAAACCTCCAGTTCTGAGTTTTGAAGTGTATATTCCAAAGAGTGTTCCGAAGAATGTTCGGAAGAGTCACTCAGACTTAGATTAATGTTTACCCTGTGTGGTACAGCAGACGAATCCTGGAGAAACTGCGAAATCTCAGTCTCTTCATCAGAATCTTCTCTCTCAGCAAGGTAACCATCATCATGGGGTATCTCCACCAGTAAACCAGTCTGGTGAGAAAACATATTTTACTGGTAGCGAAATTACTTACAGTGGATTTCAATACAAAGTCCTGAGAGCTATTTCAAGTAACTTAACATATACAGTTATACTGCTGTAGATTTTATTCACAGTGACATGAATGATTTGTACAAGTACCTGTACCACAGTTCAGTACATAATATAAGAATGTAATTAAAATTACAAAGATTAAAATTAAAAATACAAAGAACTTCAGGCACCTCCAGGTCACCTGCGCTTATTGTCTCTGACCACAAGACTATACTAAGTCTTAGCAACAAATCAGAATTCTTGTTACAGATCACTCTTATGTAAGGTACACTCTAATTGGCGAGGAGGAGAGCTGCTTAGATACAATTTGCAGTAGCTGTACACAGACGGCCGTACATTCAAAGTAGCTGTACACAGACGGCCATACATTCAAAGTAGCTGTACACAGACGGCCGTACATTCAAAGTAGCTGTACACAGACGGCCGTACATTCAAAGTAGCTGTACACAGACGATCGTACATTCAAAGTAGCTGTACACAGACGACTGTACATTCAAAGTAGCTGTACACAGATGGCCGTGCATTCAAAGT